GAGTGGAGCGAGATGACATTCTTGCCATGTTCTGGAACTTGGAAGTTTTCAGCTTTTTGCCATTGCATGGAATGTTTGCTGTGGAATTTTCATTTATGCCCCCCCCTTTTTTTTTGATTGTGGTGATTTCCTTCTCTGTGGGCTTTCTGGCTATGCCTCTTTGGTTTTTTTGTTTGTTTATTTGTTTGTTTTTTAAGTATTTATTTTAACTTGAGAGGCAGATGATCAAGGAAAGAAGGGGAGAGAGAGAGAGAATCTTCCATCTACTGGCTTACTTCTCATAGGACTCAACAATGGCCCTGCTTCCCATCCAGCTCCCTGCTTGTGGCCTGGGAAAGCAGTCAAAGACGGCCCAAGGCCTTGGGACCCTGCCCCCGTGTAGGAGACCTGGAAGAGGTTCCTGGCTCCTAGCTTCGGATCAGCTCAGCTCTGGCCATTGTGGCCACTTTGGGAGTGATTCAGCAGATGGAAGATCTTCCCCTCTGTCTCTCCTCCTCTCTGTATATCTGACTTTCCAGAGAGAAATCTGGCACATTTCCAGAGAGAATGAGAAACAAAGCAGGAAAGTCTTCTATCTGCTGGGTCACGCTCCAAATGGCCTCAACTGTCAGAGCTGAGCCAATCTAATGCTAGGAGCCAGGAGCTTCTTCTGAGTCTCCTACATGGATACAGGGTCCCAAGGACTTGGGCCATCCTCCACTGCTTTCCCAAGACATAAGCAGGGAGCTGGATGGGAAGGGAAGTGGAGCAGCCAGGACACAAACTGGTGCCCATATGGGATGCTAGCACTTAAAGATGGAGGATTAACCAGCTGAGCCATGGTGTCAGCTCCATACATTTAAAGCTTTAAGTAATCCCATTATACTTTTAGGATTTTTAATTTAATGGTTATTCTTAAGGACATTAAAAATAAAAGTGCACTCATTTCTATTTATCCACCTACTTTCTACTTATAATCCTTTTCTATTTTCAGTTTATATTATTTCTCTTTAACCTGTAGGTCACTGTTAATATTTCTTGTAGTTCTATTGGTGACTAATTCTCTAGTTTGGATGATCTAAAAATATTCTTATTTCATCTTCATTTTAAAATATCCTTTTGATGGTTATAAAACAGCCTATGTATGACTTAAATCCTTCATAATTTATTGTAAAGTCCTAATTCCAGGCCTGATTTTGGAGAGGGAAATGGGGTAATTGCCAGGGTCAAGGACTGGGACAAGAACTTTGAGGAGCTAGGGCTGTTAAATTTTAGGGAAGGTGAAGATTGCTTTGGGTTATCACTGGGTAAAATAACGGGGGCAAGTTAATAGGATGAACAAGGGCTGATGTTGGTTGACATGGCTAGCTTAAACCACTACCACACCTAGCATGGTTTGAACAGAGTTGGAGAGGGAGACAACGTGTGATTGAGAGAATAAGAAATGAGACAGACACAGGATAAGGACTGAGAAAGCAGGCAGCCAGGGGGAAGGCCCCTCCTCTGAGGAAGCAGGTCGAGCTAACAGGCTCGCAGCCTCAATCTATGGAACTGCTGGGGGAGTCAAATGACGGGAGTTGATGTGGCACAGGTGTTGATGGCTACATCCCCTATTGGTGCTAACCAGTCAGTGTTTGATGATCAGAGAGCACCAGTGTGGCCCAGGTAGAGAAGTCAGTACGTGACTGTCTCAAGGATATCTTCAAGCACACAGTCCTGTGGCCTTGGACCATTGCCCAGCTGCGTACCCTCGCCCACAGGCCATGACCTTGGTCTTGGACTTTTGCCGACTTGCACTGTTGCCTGCGGAGTTTGACCTTGGTCTTCCTCACCAGCAGTCTGTGAACACAACATTCCAGACAGTCTGCCCTGCTCTTAGCAAAGCATGCTGTTATTTTTTACAAACTGCCTGTGTCAGTCACCGCTTCTGAATCACGAGAACTTCATGTTTAAACAAGCAAACAGACAAACAAACAAAAAAGAATCTTTAAAATCTCTTTTCTCCTTTCAAAGGAGAAGACAAGCATGGTATTGCAGTTATCTAAGAACCACACGATTGGAAAATACCAGAAATGCGACTCTGGAATCGGTCTTCTTTTTCTTAGCCTCTAACTCTCCTTCTGTCTCACTGTGGTAGTGACCCACAGCGCTGGCTGTTTTCAGATATCAACTTTCCCAGATAAAGTATCACCCAGAGAACTGATTGAGGGTCATTGAACGTATCTGTGAGGACAGCCTGTGGAGGGGTGGGGACCATCACTCCCAGCCACCTTGGGCCCGTGGCGTTGGACTCCAAGGTTGACGCCAGTGACCCTCCATGGTCTTGGACCTCTGTGCTTGGACTGAGTGCTGCAGCTGACTTTCTGCCCCAGGGTTCCAGCCCACAGACTGCCCACCACGGGACTCTTCACCTCCTTAATCATGACACCTCTGATGATCCCTTCTCATCAATGTACACATACAGCCATATCCTGCTGGGTGCATCTAAAAGCATACAGTAGTTAAAAGCATACAGTTGAGCCTATATTGTTCCCAAATGTTTTACTGTCTGCACACGTTTGACCTGGAACTTACCCTAAGATGTGTGATGTTCTCCATACAAAATTGCTTGATAATATCTTGGAACAAATGGAAATCATGGCAGTACAAAGAGTTTGTTTACCATGCAGCCTTGAACTGTTACAACACATGAAATGATGCATTGTGGCTTCTCACCACATAAAGCAGAAAGTATATGGGACATCTTTCAAAGAGAGACAAATGCTGTAAGCCCCTAGAGGAAAATTGTTTAAAACTTCTATGTTATATTGGCACTTTAATTTAGGAAAAGAAAATAGTTTGAAAAAATCAAAAAAAGTTTTTTTGTAAAGGCCTCTGCTCGTAGAAAGGCTTAGTTGCCCTGATCCTTTTCACTGCCCTTTAACAAAAGAACAACAAACAATTGAATCAGTACTAGGTGAAAATGATGGTATTTAACGTATGACTGATTATAACATTTAATAAAGGATCTATAATATATGCCTTTATAAATTCCTTTCATTTATAAGCTTTTTTTTCTTTGTATTTTTGATATTTTAAGTGATATTAGTTTAGTTTAGTGAAAATTGATTTTGGATATAAGTAAACTGTTACTACGTAACCACATGTGCTACCAACCATGTAGTTCCTGGCTTCAGCCAGGTGACTACAGGTTTGAATGAGTAATGGTTTACTGAGAATGTTTCCTTTGAAGTACAATAATAATAATGATTTTCAGAATTGTTTTTGTATTCTTTTGACCATGAAGTAAAAATGAAACAATTGGATGTTGTACAAAAGCTTGTGATGATTTCTATATAAATAAAGAAGGCAGCTGTTTGAGTTGTCCATTATGAGCATCATGCTGTAGTGGTCCAGGTCTCTTCTCACCAATCCACACATCGTTTGTAAGCTCTCAAGTCAGCTGCAGCTGGTCTGCAACAAGGTACCAGTTTGTGCCCTAGATGCTGCATTTCCCTTCCAGCTCACTGCCTGTACCCTGGGAAAGCAGTTGAGGGTGGTCCAAAGTCTTGGGGCCATGCCCCTGAGTGTGATACCTAGAAGAAACTCCTGGTACCTGGCTTTGGATTGGTTCAGTTTGGGCCAATGCAGCCACTTGGGGAGTGAACCAGCAGACAGGAAATCTTTCTGTATCTCCCTCTCTTTGCATGTCTACCTTTCCAATAAAAATAAATAAATCTTTTTTTTTTTAAGTGTAGATTTTTATTGGAAAAATCAACTCTAATTCTTGTCGAGACGATCTGAGATGGGAGTGCCAATGTAGCTGGCATGCTTCTGTTCGGATCATTTAGACATTGACATAGCCATCCTGTGTAAGGGCTGGACTTGAGCCCAACAGAACACAGAAAGAAGGAAAGGCACAGGCAGAGAGAGAGAGTGCTGAAGGGGAAAGGCTAGAACTGACCAGGATGAGAGTGGCAGGTGTCTGAGGGTCTTCAGTCTCTGTAAACCCAAGACCCTCCAAGCTGCAGCTGCACCTGAGCGATATTATATAGTTTATAATATGAAACCTATGTTAAGTGCTCACTATGGTCCTGCAGGTTTCACCAGCCCTTACAAGAACGGCATGAGTTCATTTTATGCTAGATGAAAGAGCCACTTTAAGGGAACCCAGAGATTCTGGGAACATGGTGCTAGCTCTGCCATCTGGCACCCCCGAGCCTGACACCCCTCCCTCAGTACTGAGCCCCAGGCGTGTCTGGCTCTGCCCTTTGTCCAAAACCAGAATGGTTATTTCTAGCTCTGCTGTCCCATTTTAAGCTCCTGTCTTCCAGCTTTCTGTTGCATGGCTGCCCTCTTGAGGCGATGTCGCAGGCCTGTCTGGAATGACCTTGCCTTGGCCAGCTTTGGGACCCTCTCTCCTGCTCTGTAGCAAGTCTCAGAATTAGCTCAGGTGGGTTTTAGTCCTCAGCAGGTCCTTCATACTTGAGAAAAGACAATAAACAACAACATCAGAGAAAAACAACAACAAACACACTGCTTATAAATGCAAAAGGCAAAAAAAAAGTGATCTAGACATTTTATATTTTAAAATGCTATGGGAGACCATGTTATAAGTTCCATGGGCAAATCAAAATGCATTGTCTCTCTTGCTTGCCCACTGAATGAAGAGGTCTGCCTCTTTAGAGAGTTTAGATTGAGCAAAGATGTGGGAGAAAAATAAAAAAATTGACCATTTCCTTGGCTCCTCCCTTCAGTTAGCCCAACTGCAAAGTCAGTGTTGACTTGGTCATCTTCTAAAATTCTACCTCTCTGTGGGTGCTTATATTTTGGGAACATTTACCACCAATAATAAGATTGCCCTCTTCTGTGCTCCCCACACCCCATGTAAATTCTGGGTTGCCTGGGAACCCAGCTTCTCTGTCTGAGGATTTCCCAGCTAAAGGGTGTTTGGAAAAGGGGGGTGCTGTCCCTTTAAATCCTGCAAGTCAGTTTGGCTCGGGGAAGGCCAGCAGCTCAAGGTCCAGCCCCTAGAAGAGAGAATAGGCACAAATCTTCCATCCTCAGCCTTTGCAAGGGGACAGCTGTGCCAGCCAGGCACTGGCAGGTTTCAGGCAGCATGGCTGAGAAGCTCGGAGTCCTCCTGCTGGTCCTGGTGCTGGTACTGGACCCGGCTCAGCCAGGGACTGGACCCCGGAAGCTCCTGCTGTTGCTGTTGGATGGGTTCCGCTCAGACTACATCAGCGAGGAGGCTTTGGGGTCCTTGCCTGGATTCCAAGGCATTGTGAGCAGGGGAGTGAAAGTGGATTACCTGACCCCTGACTTCCCCAGCCTGTCCTATCCCAATTACTACACACTCATGACTGGTGAGTACTACTGGCCCCCCAAGGATAGTATTTGAGTATACCTTGAGTTTCTGCCATTGGGGCAGGAGGGCTTATTGGAATGTCCAGGTGTCCCCAGTCTTCAGAGAGACCAAATGCTTGACAAAAATTCTGTGGTGTGGGCTTGGGAAAATGTGTTGTCATGGTTGTGTTGTTCTCCAAAAAGTTCTCCTAAGGTCCTGTTGTCCTGTTTGGGATTCTCTGAGTGAAGAATAGTGAATTGTGGTATGAGATGGCAGTGAGCAACTTAAAAAATGACTGTTTTACAACCACAAAGCCTAGCCAATTCTGTGTTGGCTAAGTTCAAGTGTAAAAAGCAAAAGGTCTTCCTGGGCCATACCAGATTCTTTCTGTGCCTTTGTTCCTCTCTCATCTGTCATCCCAGGGTAGGGTGGGTTGGTTTGTCAATGTGCTAGACACAACAGGGAGTAGTGTCCCTGGATCACTGGTGGGGGGAATTTTGGGGTCACGTCCCTCAGCATTCCTTAGTAAGGTCAGTTTCCTGTTCTTTCAACTTCTTGGCCATGTAGGTGGGGAAATAAGTTGCGCAATTCGGATTTCCCATCTTAACTTGAGCATCTGTAACAAACAGAAGACTCCAACAAAACAAACAAAACCTTGGCTAAAACTCAGCTTGCCTGGCTGTGGGAGAGCTAATTTGACTATAGATAATGGTCATCTGGAATTGCCACAACTCCAAATGGGATTCCATGAATCTGCCCATCTGTGTGCAACAATACGAGAGGTCTTCAGAAAGTTCAAGCAAAATGTGTATTGCGAAAAAGCCATGTCTGGATTTCAAGGCTTTATTTTGTTTGTTTCTGTTTCTTGTTTTTTGTTTTTGCACCCAAGTCAAAAGGCTTTCACACCCTGACACCATAACGTTAAAGCTTCAGGATGGATTTCACAAAACCAACTGATTTACCCAAAGTCCCTGGGTCTGTGTGCACATTTAGACTTGCCTTTCTAACCTTCGTAAGGCCAGTAATGATTTTAGCAATGATTTAGGCAGCCATCCAGGGAACCTGTTCAATTATCGCTAGTTATGCAGGACCTAGCTATACTCTCTGAATACAGGGAGAACTTTATTAATTATATTAACAGAAAGGGGATGCAAACTCTGCTATCTAATGACAGCTCTCCACCAAACACCAGAGCCAGAGGACTCCGGGAGCACGGGTGGATATTCTTAGCTGTGTGCCCTGAGCCTAGGGAGAACTTTACAAATTATGTGGCTAATGAGGGGCTGTGAAGATGGGCACGCTCAACTTCATCCAGCATGCCTTAAACTTGCAGGCATGCAAGTACCATTGAACTGAGGTGCACAAGAAAAGGGAGAAAGAGACCTTGCAGAATGTTAAAAACCATTCAGACTGCACACAAGCAAGGACTTTGTTTATTTGTTTGTTTGTTTATTCACCTCAACAAACAGCCAGTATCTAAGACAAACAAAGTCAACAAAAGTCCCTCTCGTCCTCACTTGGCACACTGTGCCCCTTGCAGGAAAGCAGCTTGCAGGCTGCTAGGTCCCACACAGATGTCATTGTGTCTCCCGGCCATGCCTCAGTCCAGGGCAGGGGACCTCACCCACACAGCCGCCCCCACTTAAGAGTTGTCCATCACAGCCCTCCTTGCTACAAGATACAATTCATCCGCTGCCACGTGAAGCTTGTTCAACCACACTAGGAAATGAACAAAATCCATTTTAGAAAGTCAGGCTCCAGGCCATGAAAAGGGAGCCTGACAGACTGCATAGGGCAACCGAGCTAGTAACACAGCCTGGTGTTGGCACACAGTCATCTGCACACAGCCTCTGTCACATGGAGACACACCTTCTTGTGTGGCTGTGTGGGTTTTCACTTGTCTGGCCACAAGAGAAGAGCCCTTTCAATGGTGGGACAGTGTAGTCCTAACAAGCATCTGGCAAAGTTCTCATCTCTGCTCTCGCCCTGGGGCTGGATTGAGGCAATTGAAAGGTCTCCATGGGTTCCATGCCTATATAGGCTCAAATGGCAAACTATACCATCTAACTGGAAAATCTACTAGATGTAGAAGTTGAATTTTCCACTTTTACAGAAGCAACAGTGCACACAGAATGTTTACCGAGGCTTATGCTTACGTCCAAGTGTTCCTGGGGAGGACTGGATCTGTTGAACAAACTAACGGTGTAGGGGCAGAATTTGAAAATGGGGACATGTCAGACCAAGGGACTGGAATCATCTTCATTGTTCTGGAAGTGACTCAAGGCATGGTATTTGACTATTTCCCCCGATATATCTACTCATCTTTACACTTGATGTTGAAATAACTCTTTGTTCTTTCTTTCATGTAAGAAGAGATAAATTCACTGGAAATTAAGCTTAAAAACGTGGTTTCAGATATTGAGCATTTTGTGAACCAACAAAGTGCTAGATATCATGCTAGATATCTTTGGTACCCAAAGATATGTGGCTTTAGGCTTCCTTGGTATTCGTGTTCTTGCACCTAGGACAGGAAGCCCTGGGTGTTCTTGGAAGGAATGCTGGCTTGGTAACTGAGAGAACTTGTTTTCCTTCCTCCCAGGGAAGGCTCCAACAACCTTTCACACTGCTTTGGACCTTATTTTCATCACGCAGGACTAAAGCAGATGAGTAGGCAGCTCCCTCTCAGGCAGCAATTCTGGAGCTGCTGAGTGTACACAGGAATGTGAGCAAGACATGGGGGATTTCTGGGAGGCCATTGTGTAGAACTGAAGCCTGTGACAGACACTCCCTGAAAGAAAAAAGAAATAAGCAGGTGGGGAAGCCACAGGAATGGTGGGGGGAGATCCACAGCCACCACTTGCAAAGTACCTTGCAAACTGTGCAGCCCAGTCACCAACATGGAGGCATTGGAGCAGGTTGATTTAGTCTCTCAAAATGTGACACAGGTTGATGAAGCAGTTGGCTGCTGGAGACACTGAACCTCAAGACTGAATCTTTCTCCTCGGGAGCTTATATTCAAGTTGAGAGGAGACACTCGGAGATGTATAGCCATTCATATTCTATTTTTATTTTAAAAGATACACTTGGGCCCGGCGCGATGGCGCAAGTGGTTAAGGTCCTTGCCTTGCACACCCGGGATCCCATATGGGCGCCGGTTCTATCCCGGCAGCCCCGCTTCCCTTCCAGCTCCCTGCCTGTGGCCCGGGAAGGCAGTCAAGGACGGCCCAAAGCTTTGGGACCCTGCACCCGCGTGGGAGACCCAGAAGAGGCTCCTGGCTTCGGATCGGCATAGCATCGGCCGTTGTGCTCACTTAGGGAGTGAATCATCGGACGAAAGATCTTCCTCTCTTTCTCTCCTCTCTGTATATCCACCTTTCCAATAAAAAAATAATAAAAATAAATCTTAAAAAAAAAAAGATACGCTTGCTTAGTTGAAAGGCAGGGTTAGAGAGAGGGAGAAAGAGAAAAAGAGAGAGAAATCTCTTATCTACTGGTTCACTCCCCAAATGGCCATAACAGCCAGTCCGGTCCAAAGTCAGGAGTCAGGAACTTATCCTGGTCTCCCATGTGCTAGGGGCCCCAAGCTCTTGTACCATCCTTTGTTGCTTTCCTAGGCACATTAGCAGGAAGCTGGCTTGGAAGCAGAGTAGCTGAGACTTGAATCTGTGCCATGTTGGGTGCCAACAGAGGCTTTACCCACCATGCCCCAGGGCCATCTCTTTGCTAGTATTCTAAAACAAATGGCAAGGTACATGATGTTATGTCCTGAATTATGTTCCTTGCCACTAAACTTAAGGTGATGTTCCAACCCCAGGACCTTACTTGGAAACAAGGCAGTCAAAGAGTTAGTTAAGTAAAACTCGGACCGTCCAAGTGCAGCCTCTTCCAAAATGACTAGTGTTCTAGGAAGGAGAGGAAGAGAACCTGGAGTCACTCCTGCAGGGAGAAAGGGCTAAGGGAGGACACAGCAAGAAGGAGGCCATCCACAAGCCAAGGAGAGAGTCTCTGGACAAGCCAAGCCCGCTCACACCTTGATCTTGTTCTAGAACTTGAAAAAATAAAATCCTGTTCTGTGAGCCACTCAGTCAGTCATCCTCTTTCTTGGCAGCCTGAATGAAGGGAATGGCAAAGCACCAAGCATCATGCCCCCACCTGTCACAAAGGACACAGGAGAGGGAAACTTCCCTCCAGCTGGAGGCACGTGAGAAAATGCTTCAAAATGATGAAATCTGCACTGTGGTTTATCAATCATACTTCACTTTACACATAAGGTCTCTTTCTAAAGGGCCTCAATTAAATTAATTTTACTTAATTTTAATTAAGATGCAGTCACAGCCTGCTACAAGAATGCCTTCTGTTTTAATCTTTCTTATGGTGGATTTTTTTTCTCTCTTTGGGGCTAAGTCTATGTTTTCTTTAAATGAAATTTAACATAAAATCAATAGAAGAAACCAATGAAGTATTCAATACAGGTCGTGGATAAGAGAAGGTGCAGCTCATGTTTTGCACAATTTAGTGTAGTTTTGCTAAGGCTAGTGGCAACATATTGTTTTTGTGTGTGTGTATGTGATTCTTGGAAATCTTTTGGTGAAGGCGAAGGGGGCATGAGTGTGGCAGAGGACGGTGCAGCACTTTCGCTTCACTGCAAACATACACTGAAGCTAGTCTGCTCTACAGTATTTTAACATTTCAGCATCTAAGTCAGCAAGTGACATGCAAGGACGCTGGGTGTGTGGTTCTCGCCACTGCCAGCTGTCAGGAGCAGAGGTGGGGAGGCAGGAGGACAGTAGAAGTCTAGATCTCACCCTGAGCAAGCCAAAGGTTGCATCCTGCAACAACCAGGAGGTTCCACAAATAACCTGCGACTCAGAGCAGAGAGCTACCCAGCACTAGGCCCGGAGGCAGCAAGGGACTGAACAACAGGGCTTAATGAATTCTCCCTGGGAGCCAAGGCAAACCCCAAGAAGGTAACTGCCCAGAATAATGATTGGTGCCAATGTCTTTCCTATCCCACTCCCA